TGATAAAGTACACCTAGTTTAAGTTACAATTCAAGATTTCATTCGCTTGAGATGTATAGAGTTAAAATATATTATAATGAACTTGATAAAGAAGTTGTTTTCCAAAATAAAAAGATAATACAATCATTGGATGATTATAATATATGATCTATCTATTTAATTTCTTTTATTTTGTAATTCAGATAATCTGAAATTCTCATTGGTTAGTTTGAATTACGTATCATAAAGTCAACTAGATTATAGATATTAGCCAATCGCCTCGGAGAATCGAAGTTCGAATACGATCCAGGTCGTGTTAAATTATCATAAAATGTCTTTCTTCATTCCTCATCCATGATGGCCAATATTTTTGCGCTCATAGTGAACGTGATAGTGGCCCAAGCCTGGTACTTTCCATCAAATATATAGGAGATATATTCGTATATCCTACTAGCACATCGTTTATCACCAAATACAGTTGAAGTTTTTAAATGAAATAAGGAGATCGCGTTTCGGTTATTTCACCGTAATATATTATTTTCTCTGTTTAAATTGCAATATATAATATTTCTCAAAGAAAAAAATAATAACACTGTTTATAGCAAAATAAAAGGAATAAAACTTAGCCTATATTTAATGCCAAATTATATCAAGATTTAATTTTTCCATTTAAAATTATACAAAAATAATTATTTTTAAACTTATTCACACAATAAATTGGTTGTTATGACATTAAAGCAGTTTTTGTATAGACTATACTCTATCTTCTTACTTTTTGTTAACTTAAATTTTAATTAGTACCATACTTTTTGTAATTAATTAAAATAGATAATTTTTTATTTGATGTCAAACTGCGAATACGTAAACACTGGAATTCTCATATACATTAAATTAAAAATGCAAATTTAAATAAGACTTAAAGTTTTCCTATAATATGAACCAAGCATTTCTATCTTTGTGTCAAGAAAGCATAACGTATTTCCAATGAAAATAAAGATATTAAAATATCTAAATCGATTATTTTCAATTATACATGCACTCTATAAAAAAGACTTACCTTGTAGCACTTTCTTGAAAATTATAAGAGGCAGAAAAAAATTAAAAGATGAGAATTTTACTGCGAACTCAATGAACTCGTTTACTTTAAAAGACAGAATTAGCTAAGAATTCCAAGTGATAACATGAAATAATTAATTAATTAATATATGAAGACTGTTGAAAAATTTAATTCAATTTTTTCTAGAATTGAATTCTTTGTTTAATCAAATTCAGCTGTGAACAACTCAACTTGCCTAAAAAGCAACTTCAGGTTACTTGTAGCTTATTCTTATGATAAATTTACAGTTGAAGTTAAACAATTTTTGAACGAATTGTATTGAACCCTAACCTAATAAATTACGTAAAATGTAAAACAGTTCTTCCGCACAATGGAAATTAATTTTCAAATTATTTTACTGTTCCATATTATCAATTTAAAAATTAGACTTATTCCAATATCTGTATGTCTTTAAAAACATAAATTATATATTTTTATGGCGAATTTTAAATTAATTACATTATGCATTATGCTAAAACAGTAATTTTAAACTTTTAAGAATACTAAACTCATGCGTTAGGGTATTTTTGTGAAACTCTATTATTATTTACAGTTTAATAATAATAAAGCGTAGAGAAATGAAGAACGTTGAAAGACTTCAACGCTGATTTCATTTTGTAAGTAATAAAACTTCTTATAGTCAATAAGGTACAACCATTTTTATATTTCAATATTTATAATGAAAATAATTTATTTTAAATATATTTTTGGAAGCATAAAGTTTCACAAAACACACTTTGAATACTTCTGCTACAGAAACAGTCTACAAAAGTTCTTTTATTTTATTTTGTTTTACTTGAGAGATCGTCGAGCAACATAAAAATATTATATTATATTAAATACATAATAATATAAATTTTTCACCTGTTCTTATATATATATATATATGTAAAATTCGATTTAATCAAAGCTATACAGACGTTGGAAAGAGAATAAAATATGTAAATAGAACAAAGGGCAAAGGACAATGCACAAGTAGAGCACGGACCCTCTTGAGGGGGGGAAAAAGTTATTAGAAGACAAAGAAACAGTAATCAAAAAGTAATTTGATTTTTTATAAAAATATCATTTAAAAAATCAATTTTTCTGTCCAATGAAGGTCACAAAACTACAGATTTAATATTAAGCTTATAATTTCAAAAATAGTCATAAAATGAAATATTAAATGAAACTATCTCTTATATGGACAGATTTTACAGATTTTTGAAATTAATATCTTTTTCTCATATATTTTTTCCTTACTGTTTTTTGTTTTTATTGACTTTGAGAAGACTTTTGATCATAAAACTATATTTTATAAATTGCTTTATTTTTGATCAAATAATTAAAAAAAATTAGTAAGTTATGAAGTTTTAATTGAAGTTTTAGAATTGTAGAAAGATGGACGTAAGCAATTTGTCGAAAAATTACAGAAATGATAATTGAAATATTAGAAATTGAGTATTTGCTTAGGCACTTATTCGAAAAATTTGCTTTTCAAATAAAAAATGAAAATAAAAATACAACAAACAGAAAACGTTTAGAATAATATGTTAAAAATCCTGTTTCTTATCATTTATCCTGTTTCTTATCTTATTATCATTTGAAAAATCCTAGAGAAAACATAAAAATATCAAACGAACGAAGCGAAGATAACATTTACGATAAAACAGATATCAAAATTAATTTTCATTCATTTTAAAGTTCATTTTTATGTTCAATGCGGATTGGGGACTATTTATATACAGGATAAACCTTATTAATCCGGCAAGCTTTGAATCAGAGAGATGCCGGCTTTCTGGATTTTCCGAACTAGTGTAGCTTAGAGTAAAATATGACAATATCGTAATATCTGTATAGTAGAATCAATTACCGTAAACAAGCTGTAACGGATGTAAACAATATGGGACACTGCTGGTACAATTGCTGCAATGTTGCCAAAATGCGGATAATTATCTGATTTACGGATGAATTGAAGTAGCGTTAGATATTTCTATAGTTCTGAAAAAAAGTTTTGATAATTTCGAGTATTTTCAGAAAACCTCTAACTTTTTCAGAATAAGTATTTAAAAAGATAATTGCACCTTGAAACGTCGAGAAATGCAAAAATGTTTCTATATGTATGGATGTTAGGGTGTGTATGTGCGTGAGGGATACGATTTGGTTTACCATGTTTGAAGTTTGATAATTCCCATGTTTTTTGTGGACAATTTCTGAAATTTTCAGGAAAGTTTGTGTATTAGGAGATTGATACTATTAATTTTTGGTGATTAAAGACCAAAAGAGTGGAGAGACAAAAACGGTCGTGTGCCATATCTCGAGTAGGGTCAAACTTAATGACGATTTTACTCGTTACAAGTACTGTATTTACAATTTTTTATAAAACCCATCCTACCTTCAAAATTAAGCCTTTTGCCATTTTATAATAATTAAACACAAAAAATTTCTAATATTAAAATATTATAACGGATGGCGCCACACACTCGGTTTTAAATGTTGCCGGAAAGTTAAGCAACTCGTTACTGAATTTTTTTTCAATAAAAACATATATTTGAGTATAAATACTGAATTTAAATACTTATGCAATTTGCAATAGAGCTTAAGTAACTTTGGTCTAAAGCAATAGTGAAATTTGTACATGATACTTCGAACACAGTTTGAAATTAAAATATTCGTAATTTAGTTATAATCTGTGTTTTAAAACATTATTAGAATGGAAAACAAAAATAAACGCATCATTAAAACGAGAAAATTATAAATAAATTTATTTAGCGATAGTGAAAAAAGGGTTGGACTGAATTGATGGGATAACGCACAGGGGGATAATCTGCCAAGGAAAAATCACTGGTTCGTAGTTATTTAGTAGCCCAGAATGGCTTAATTACCCCTAGAACATTTTTAGTTACTCCTGTTCATTATTCCAAATAACGAAATTCACTTTGATTATTTAACGTTTAAATTTCGAATCCTTTTCTACCGTTTTTCACGTATTGTACATCATTTAATAATACTGTATATTACATTTTAAAACTTTTTCTGGGACGTTTCCCTCTCCCCGTTTCCCTGGGTTATTCCTTAACCTCCATACACCGGTAGGCCATCACAAATTTGCTTGAGCCACCCGTATTATAATTGGTCTAGCTATTCTCTCGGGGAGGTATCTACCGGGAGATCTTTCTACGGGAGATTAGCCCCTTTAGACGTTTAGACAAGAGAAGAAAACACGGAAAACTCTACTCGGTCAGCTCATTAGTCAGGCAAAAGCCCATAACTTTTTTAGTGTTCAGTGGTTTTATAAACTCGGCCACTGCTGGGCGTTAAAAAAAATTAATGAAGGAAAATATAGACTATGTAAAAGTAAAAAGAACGTGGAATATTTTTATAAATATTTAAAAAGTTTTGTAAATTATTTTAATATAGAAACTTAGTTTTAAAATACATAAAAATCAATAAGTTTTATCACAATATTTTATTTATTTCACTGTTTTTCATCTATAACAAGCAATTTTATACATTTATTACTATTATTTTTGAATGCTAAATAAATCAAACGAAAATAAATCTCGTTTTCTTTTTAATACATAAAAGCACACGGAAAAATAAACACAAAAATTGCATTAACATTTTATTACATATACAAAAAACATTTTACTTTATGTATTGAACGATCATAGAAACACTCCGATGCACATCTAATTCATAAAATTGTTGTACATAAATGATTTATATGACTTTCAACAATTGTTGTAAATATATTTTTAGACTTACATGTAAACGAAATATTAAATATTCATTTTTATTCTGACAAAAATAAAATAGAATAAATATATCACACATTATCATTCGTGGTATGTTTTCTTTTTTCAAGTTCTCTGAGTTTTTACATTAATAATTTTTTTTTTTAATTTTCAGTTCAATTTCACATACATTTGGCAATAGATTATTGGATACATTAGGCGTACAAGACTTTCGGCTTGTCTTCTAATTAATTCTAACATAGAAATCAATTATTTATTATAAGATGGCCCTCGAAAACTATTTGTATTTTCAACAACATATAATTCTCTTTGCATTCTTTCTGGAATAGTTTCGTTAATATAAGTATCTTCATCTGTACACTTAATTGGCACGATAATACAACAATAAAATTATATATATCATCATTTTGATTCTATTTGTAGTTTTATAGATTAGGATTATTTTCTAGATCTTTCATTTTATACGTGGATCCAATGCTTCCACTAGAATTATAATTTAGAATAATTAGAATAAAAATTTTTAAAATATATATATATTATTTATACTATTATGTATTTTCAGATCAGTCGTTCACACTTACGATTACATTTGATTCTAATACAATTTTCTAGTTGATATTTTCTAAAACAATATAACTTTTCAATAATTTTAACTTGCATATCGTTCCAGGTGAAAATGGATTCACCCCTCTCTCTAAGTTGAGTACATTGTCAAGCTCTAAATCACAGAGAAACCATTTGATCCGAGCCTCATATTTATGAGGTCTGCCAAAACGTGGTTTTGCAAATTATTCCTTCCATTGTATTTTTATGTATTAAAGATTGAATCGAATTGCTGAGATAACGCAACAGATGGGTAATTGCCAAGGAGGGAATAACTCGTGAGGACTTTCTATGGGAAAATTACTCTTATTTAGGTGGTAGACACGTAAAGAAAATCCTGAAAACTCCACGCGGTTAGCCCATTCGTCTGGCGCGAACTCACAACCCCAATAACCAATTAGTGTTCAGTGATATCCATTCGGTCACTAGTGAGCCTTTGAGAATTAAGGAAAAGTCATTAGTCTTTAGCCAATTTTTAAATGTGTTTTGTTTTAATATATCGGCAATCTTAAGAAAGTAAATAACCCGAATCTCTGAGAAACCCTGCATCGTTGTCAAGATTTCATCTAATCGATAAAAGCCGCAATAATAGTAAAGAACCAATCCGATACAACACCGATATATTGAAAATTTAACGAATATTGTACTCTCAACATTATTTTGATTAATACGAAATAAATAGTTAATAGTATTTTTAATAGTTTATGTGAAACGTTCTAATTTTTTTAGCTTATGAATTATGAAACTATATACATTAAAAATAGAAATCATTAAGAAGTATTGGTTTAATTCAAAGTTTGATCGTAAATAATTGAGCGGAGCGTTAGCAAAGTCTCTCTTCTATGTGGCTTACAGAATTGTGTTCCTTCTCAAAATATGTTCGATAGATTTTGATTAAACTTTGTCATTTTCCATTAATTGCGATGAGGAATCCAAAAATGTAATAAAAATTGGAGGTCTATGACTTCATCTTCGAGATATAAGGTCGTTTTACGAGAGTGTGAGACAAAGGGATATCGCGCAAATAGCTCCCAATGTCGTTAATACGTCTTCTATGTGACTTATAGAATTGAGTTCGTTCTCAAAATTTGATGGGCCGATTTTGATAAAATTTTGTCGTTTTCTATTGATTGAGACGACGAATGTAGAAATGAAATAAATGTAAATGTAGAAAACATGGGTCTGCGATTTCATTATCGATATAAAGTGGGGTCAAAATGACAATGTCCGTGATCTTTGAGCACGCCTGATAAAATTTAGGGGTCAAATAAAAAAACAGCATTGCGTGCACCTAACAGAAAATAGATATAAAAAACGAACAGAGTCCAAGAACAAAGCAATTGGCGTCGGTTGCTTTTAGTTTTGGTTTTATTCGTATACGGCAGCGCGACACGTAGGCAATCAGTCGAAGAGGAATACGTCTCGGGAGGTCTTTTATGGAAAACTGGTCCTCCTATTTAGTGTTACTAACGTGAATAAAACCTACAAAACTCCACGTAGCCAACCCGTTGGCCAGGCGTGAAGTCACAACCAACTACGGTGTTCAGTGGTTTTATCCACGTCTCCACAAGTGGGCATTGCCATCGATTACTTTGTACTTGGATCGTCTCTCCGTGTCAGTAAGAGCAATGATAATCTCTGTATGACAGTCAGTACAAGGACTGCTTCTCCCGTGACCGGCAGGCTCCGAGGATAGCCTCTCTCTTGGCCGGCAGGCCACTAAGATCGCCTCTCCCGTGACCGGCGGGTGCAAAGTGCCTCTTTCTTGGCGACGAGTGCAAGTTCGCCCGTCCGCGACCATCAGCTACAAAGATCGCCCTTTTTGTGTCTAACAATCACAAGGCTCGCTTCTTTCTTTTCAATTCTATCGCGATAAGACAAAGTCGCACGATGTTTTAGTTTAATTCCAATATGTTTTCAAAAATTTTGTGTTTAATTAAATGAGAAAATAAATCATAATTTCGTTTCTACAGCTATTTTTTTTTATTGTTACATAGTTTTCTGCACTTAATACAAGCATACTTATACTGTAGCATATGGCTATAACAGTCATTTGAAAATTACTTTTTAAACATCAGTTTACTTTATTCATTCGAATGAATATTTTCATTTCCACTTAACGAAGAGAAATTAGGCCTATATATCATAACTTTAAAATTTTAAGTATATTTGTTTGAAGTGCGCCAACAAATAAGATAACGCCTAGAACTCCATTAGAATGCTCTGATTATAACTATCGACTCTGGCAAGAACAATGAGAATGAAACTTAGATTCAATCAATTCTTGAAAAACCTCTTTTATCTATGTATATGTATTTTTTTCAGACAGACAGGCAAACAGGCTTTAGTTGGTCTGAAATTTAAAAATTGTAGCCTGACAATATGTAAAATAGGACGATAGAAATAGTTATTGCGAAAGGAAAACTTTCAAATACGTCAAAACTGCTTTATGGAAATGAGATGGAGCTCAATACTCATTCTGCATCCTTCTGAAGATTTATTAATAAGTTTCATCCATTATATTTAGGACTTTTTTTTTTGTTTTTTGGACTTAAAAATCGCAATAAAAAGTTCCACATTGTTGTTAAAAAGTAAACGTGAAGAACGTCTGATCTGGTAAATCAGTTATTATTAAAAATTTTTTTACCTCAAATCTCTTTACGGTTTTGTCTTCTTCGAGATATTTATGTTGTTCTTCAGGCGTAATATTATAGGCAATTCTCTGTAATGAAAATTAAAAAAAAATTAAAGGCAAAGATAATATTTTGGCTTGGTATATATTTATTTACCCTTGCGCAAGATCCAGGTGTGAAAAGTAACTTGAAGATGGCAATGATAGGTATGACAGCCACCGAAGATAATCCAAATCCCCATCCTAATGCCACTGACCATTTAGGAAAACGATAGTTATGGTATTCTAAAGGTGTCTCGTCTACTATTGCTGAAATAATGACTGCCTGAAAAACGTTTATATGTAAATCTATAATTTAAAATTATATTTTTTTTTATTTTGAGATTATTATAAGATTAATCATTTTCAATTTACTAAAACCAAAATCGATTTATTGTACAAATCGGGTGTTAAAAGTCCAACTTTTTTTTTATTTATCTTTTTGTAATTCGGTTTGATTAAATTCTTTATCTTCATTTTTAATTATACGATTAATTGATCGAGATATTTAATTAGATCGGACAATTCTTCTACACTTTTCTTTCATCAACAAAAAATTATTCCAAGAGAAATATTGAGGAAAACAGACAAACTGGAATGAACTGATTTTTCCGTTTAAATAGTGCTAATTCGAGAAATAAATTGAAATTTATTCCATTAACTAAAATATAAAAAATTACAAAAATTTTTAAAATATATATTTAAATAAATATAAAATAAACTTTTATTCTTATGAGAACCATTTGAAAAATATTATTGTTCTAAAATTCCAATTATTACATTTTCTTCCAACGTTATATACTAATACTTTATTTGAAATCATTCGATCAGTTATAACAATTTATTTATAATACTAATTATTAAACTTAATATAATAAGGTTTATTAGCATAAACGATTATTAAAGAAATACATAAAGTACACGTGAATACAAAGAAATTTTATGAGAAAATATCTAACTTTGAAAACTGAACATACAGTATTATTTATTATTTAATGATTAAATTAATAATATATTAAATAATTTATGATTTTCATTGTTACTCTTGTTTACCATAGCACATAGTAACAAGCAATTTAGCTTAGATAATTTAATATAGCATTAAGCTTGCAAATTTATATTGAAAAATTACTATTTGCATCATTAATAATAAATTTACAGGAAATATATTTCTTATTTAAGTTAATTTATACAGGTAACCCCCGTATAACACGGCACTTCTACAGCACGGATTCGCTCGAACACGGTTCGAGAATTGGTACCATCCCCCGTATAACATGGTACTTTTATTGCACGGATTCACTCTGACACGGTTCGAGAAATGGGTAAAACCCTCGTACAACATGAAATNTTGAAGTTTAAAATAATAAATCTTGAACGAAAATTATTATTTTAGTTTTATAAATACTACAGAAGTCTAAAAGTTAATGAATAGTTAAGCCAAAGCTGGAAATTATTTTTCATATTGTGATTAATTAAATACTGATTGCATTCTTTCTATGTTTGTCAAATTTGCTTTAAAATATTGTCATAAGCTTTCCATTAGTTTGTGGTAAGATCGGTGATCCTTCTACTAACACAGAGTAATCCCACTTTAAATTTGATTTATATCTAAATTTTCTAAGAATAGTTTTGTTCAAACCGTCATTATCTAATCATTCGAATTGGCTTACCATATCGACTGACCATCCGTAATGAGCATAATTGCCGATGTGCTTCATATTACTGTACATAAAAAGAAAGAAAGAACCAATATGATTGGTCATTTTTCTTCTTTTGGATATGATAAAAATTTAATTAAATCGTAATACTTTTAGTTTTTGTAAGCTATTGTGTGCATCCCATCTCGTACATTGTAGTTGTAAGCCCCTAATTAGAGTGGGGTGATCGGGATTGGCACATCTATCCTAAAAATTTTGAGCCATCCCTATCCATGGTTTCAAATGATAAAATTCTCTTTGATTACTTGTATTTTTTAAATAAGTATCTGTAAATAGTTTTTAACATTTAAAATTTCGAATGTTTTTTGTTCGTACATTATTTAATAGCATACATTATATTATATTTTAAAAATTTTCCGGACTCTTTTCCCCTAAGGTGGGATGTCCTTATCGGGACTCAAGACCTCCCGATAAGGATATACCACCATTTGATATCCTATTAAAGTTGGTCTAGCTATGCCCTGGTGTAGTTGGTTGGTTGGTTAATTTAATAGGATAAGGATGGACAATCTGCCAAGGAGAGTGACTCCCGAGAGAACTTTCTGTAAACTGGCCCCTACTTAAGTGTTAGAAGCATGAAGAAATCCAGAAAACATTGCCAGCTCGATGACGAAACCTGTTTATCTATAATTTGAATATCTTTGTTTATATTGACACATTTCGAAATTTCCTATACATATACTTGTCCTAGTTCTTCATAGGTTTTATTTTGTTGTATAACATACTAAATTGAACAGCCGATTTTCTTTACTTATAGTGGAAAATCAGCTTACAAGTTGATTGTATAGCAGGAAAAAAAAAAAACAGTCAGCATTTAACGTTTTTCGAAAGAAGATAACATTCATTACTGAAAATATATGTTTAAAAAGTAATTTCTGTGTCTAGTGAAATAACTATTTCTATAACAGTAATGTATATTATATAATGAAGTAAAAATAATTTTAAAACGAATTTCATTCCTAAATTCTAATACAGAAAAATATTTCACTTTTGATATTAATTAATTTATTTTCATATTATAAATCGATTTCTTGTTAGCCCATTATTTGCTTTTGTTTCTGCACTTATTTAATTTATACTTCTCGTATTAAACAACAGATGGCACTCATAGTATTAGTGTCGAGAAATTAACGCAGCCAACGTTTTCTGAATTGAACGACATCGATACCGATGTCGTTCAATTCAGATTAGTTCCGATCAAATCATTTTATTGATTCGAATGAGATCAATTCAATGTGACTAGTTTAAATATAGAAATTTCTATCAATTAGAAAATAAAATATAAATTCAGTAGTCTGATTATTTACTGTTTTTGTTTATATTAATTAAATAAGCAGTTTTTCCTGAATATTAATTAGGTATTAGTTTATATATTACAATTTTATTTTAGTCTCATAACGTCAATTTACATGCGAAGTACTTTATGATGTCATAAATACCATGTAGTAGCGTAATACTTAAAAGAAAGCCATAAGATGTATGGCACTGTAGTATGGAATAGTAGTAATGTATGAGATTACAGATAGATTATGAAAATTAATTTAAATATTTGAATAAAAATAAAAGATATAATGTTATAAATAGATTAATTTTATATTTATAAATATCACAATAAAAACCATTTGAGTAGGCTGATCTATAATCCACAAAAGGTCATAAAATTAATAAGATATTTGATTTTTATTAATTTTACGACCTTTTATGAATAAGTTAAAAATGATAATCATTTTTATTACGCATGAGAAGGATTTTAATTTCTAAATTTTATTCTCATGCTTATTTTCCTGAATTGTGCATAGTTTATACATCAAATATTTTTATATACAATTAAAATCCTTCTCATGCGTAATAAAAATGATATATACTATATTTTCGTACAATGTAAGAATTGCGTTAAAATGAAATTTGGAAGCGCTATAAAGAGTTAAGGATATTTCCACAATACAGCATAGTGTCAACATAGTTATGACAGAGGTTTTGCTGAGGAGGACTTTAAAAATGAAAACATATTTTGCTCTTAAATGTTTTTTTTTTTTTTTTTCAATTATGAACCTGTTTAATTGCAAGTATTTTTTACTGTATTTTTATTGGAATAAATTTACATGATAAACAAAAACACATAACACACTATTTTACTCTATTTCCGTGATATTCAATATTTAGTGTTTCCTGTCTCTTTTACAATGGATAAATAAGATCATACCATACATCAGTTATCTGTATTATTGCTAACTTCTTAAATTAAAAAAAATAAAATAAATTGTAATTATTTATCTTTAATTTAAAAAACTTCTATTTATCGATCTAACTTTATGTAGTATTAACATGAAATTATATAATAACACAATGTAAATTTTCATTGTAACTAAACTTTTATAATTATTTTCGTATTTTAAACTGAACAGGCAATCTATATGACTAGATTACTATTATAAAAAAAGGCAGACTTTCTGAACATCGAAAGTGCATTGTTTCATCAATTACAGTTAAACATTTAGTAGCTTGGTCTCGTTAATAAAATTCAGACCCTTACTAAAGAAAAATTAGCAAAAATAATCAAACTTTAAAAGAAGAAATCCCGATATTTTTCGAGAGATTTCATGAGATGACACATTTTTATTATATATGCAATGACGTTTCTAAACGTCATTACATATATAATTTATACAATGTGAAAAAATATCCTTCTATACATACTTGAAGAAAATAAATTGAAAAAGATAGAAAAATGACATCATTGACAGAAACCTATCGGAAGTCCTGATAAAGTACACCTAGTTTAAGTTACAATTCAAGATTTCATTCGCTTGAGATGTATAGAGTTAAAATATATTATAATGAACTTGATAAAGAAGTTGTTTTCCAAAATAAAAAGATAATACAATCATTGGATGATTATAATATATGATCTATCTATTTAATTTCTTTTATTTTGTAATTCAGATAATCTGAAATTCTCATTGGTTAGTTTGAATTACGTATCATAAAGTCAACTAGATTATAGATATTAGCCAATCGCCTCGGAGAATCGAAGTTCGAATACGATCCAGGTCGTGTTAAATTATCATAAAATGTCTTTCTTCATTCCTCATCCATGATGGCCAATATTTTTGCGCTCATAGTGAACGTGATAGTGGCCCAAGCCTGGTACTTTCCATCAAATATATAGGAGATATATTCGTATATCCTACTAGCACATCGTTTATCACCAAATACAGTTGAAGTTTTTAAATGAAATAAGGAGATCGCGTTTCGGTTATTTCACCGTAATATATTATTTTCTCTGTTTAAATTGCAATATATAATATTTCTCAAAGAAAAAAATAATAACACTGTTTATAGCAAAATAAAAGGAATAAAACTTAGCCTATATTTAATGCCAAATTATATCAAGATTTAATTTTTCCATTTAAAATTATACAAAAATAATTATTTTTAAACTTATTCACACAATAAATTGGTTGTTATGACATTAAAGCAGTTTTTGTATAGACTATACTCTATCTTCTTACTTTTTGTTAACTTAAATTTTAATTAGTACCATACTTTTTGTAATTAATTAAAATAGATAATTTTTTATTTGATGTCAAACTGCGAATACGTAAACACTGGAATTCTCATATACATTAAATTAAAAATGCAAATTTAAATAAGACTTAAAGTTTTCCTATAATATGAACCAAGCATTTCTATCTTTGTGTCAAGAAAGCATAACGTATTTCCAATGAAAATAAAGATATTAAAATATCTAAATCGATTATTTTCAATTATACATGCACTCTATAAAAAAGACTTACCTTGTAGCACTTTCTTGAAAATTATAAGAGGCAGAAAAAAATTAAAAGATGAGAATTTTACTGCGAACTCAATGAACTCGTTTACTTTAAAAGACAGAATTAGCTAAGAATTCCAAGTGATAACATGAAATAATTAATTAATTAATATATGAAGACTGTTGAAAAATTTAATTCAATTTTTTCTAGAATTGAATTCTTTGTTTAATCAAATTCAGCTGTGAACAACTCAACTTGCCTAAAAAGCAACTTCAGGTTACTTGTAGCTTATTCTTATGATAAATTTACAGTTGAAGTTAAACAATTTTTGAACGAATTGTATTGAACCCTAACCTAATAAATTACGTAAAATGTAAAACAGTTCTTCCGCACAATGGAAATTAATTTTCAAATTATTTTACTGTTCCATATTATCAATTTAAAAATTAGACTTATTCCAATATCTGTATGTCTTTAAAAACATAAATTATATATTTTTATGGCGAATTTTAAATTAATTACATTATGCATTATGCTAAAACAGTAATTTTAAACTTTTAAGAATACTAAACTCATGCGTTAGGGTATTTTTGTGAAACTCTATTATTATTTACAGTTTAATAATAATAAAGCGTAGAGAAATGAAGAACGTTGAAAGACTTCAACGCTGATTTCATTTTGTAAGTAATAAAACTTCTTATAGTCAATAAGGTACAACCATTTTTATATTTCAATATTTATAATGAAAATAATTATGATAATTAAACAATTTTATTTTTACCAAAAACATAAAAACTGGATGGCCATCCTCCGGCAAATCCATATTGGCAGAGGTAACCAGTTACGATCATTCCTGTGATTGAGCCAACTTGGTTTCCACTAGCACATATAGAAACGAATCTTGACTTTTCATTTACGGGACTCCATCTAGCTAAGATAGTATATGATGCAGGATAAAATAAACCCTACAACGTAAAAGTTTGTCAATTTTACTGTATAGCACAAAAAATATAAGAATATAAACTAAATGTTACCTGTGATAAGCCTATTATAGTTTGCACTAATGATACAATTGCAACACCGTAATTTGTGGTGGTTGGAGTTAATAATACAAATATAGATGAAATTAAGGCAGTAGCTATGAAAACGTTTTTGGGACCTAATAAGAATGTCACGTAACCACCGACCACTTGTGCAAAGACGTAACCATAAAAATAACTTCCAAGAATAATACCTTGAGTCGACTGTGTCCAGACATGAGTTCCCTGCAAATATATTTTATTTACAATAACCTCAACACATTAAATGAATATTCAATATCTATTATATAAGGGTGAATCAATAAATAACCAGCCGGGACAACTAGCAATGCTGTTCCTTTTGTCTGGTAACACTTTACAGTTTTTTTATATTATATACAGTGAAACCTGGGTTTTCGAACATAATTCTTTTCAAAAAGTTGAATTTTTAATTTTTAATTAAAAATTAAAATAAACAAATTTTTCTCTCGTCGAATTTCTTGTTCGATAACCGATGCAATTATCTCTTCGAAATTCTGTTCGTGAACAGATTCGTTCGAAAACCGAGGTTTGACTGTACTGTGAATAAAGTAAGACTAAGTTATTTCATGACTAAACTCAATATAAACCTTAAAATATTAAGAATATTAGGAAACCCTTAAAAATTTGATTACTTATAAACTATACTTGACTGAAAAAATCTAAATATAAATTAGAAATTACCAAAAAAAAAGAAAAAATCAAATTGCAATAGATAACGACAAAGCATAAAATTAATGCATATATCATGTACATGATATAATTAACTAGCATAACCTACCTCCATATAGGTATATGTGACATTTTCTTCGTTACCTCCGGGACATTCGTCAGAATGTGTTTCGTTTTGCATAATAAATATCGCCGAGTGATTGACCATGGATAAAATTGCTACGTTCATCATCGCTCTCTGACTTTTCAGTACCATTGACGTCAGGAAGATAAATAATACTAGTACATAACGTGCTGGAACACTTTCTGCAACGTAAATAATTTCTAATAATTAAGATTTTTCTGTATTAAATCAAAATAATCACTAATTTTTTTACACGAGATTTTCTCCAAAGTCAAAAAGACTTATCTTTTATTGATATTATCCAGTTTTTGTATGGAAAATGTTTTGTAATAATTACAGAACATTTTCCGATAACTGCATAAGTTGATTTTCATTTATTTTAAAGATAGAAGAACCCTTTGTATTTGCGCGATAAAATTATAAATATTCAGCTACATTATAAAATGTTTACTAAAATTAACAAAAGTTTCCATAGTAAAAGATATAGAAATGACTACTATTATCCTTTTTTTACGCAATATTAATATAGTAAAATTAGAGACATTTCAATATTTAACAAATCTGAAATTATTTCTTCTATGGGAAATTTCCCTATTTAGATATTAGACACGTGAAGAAAATACGAGAAACTGCACGTAGCCAACCCGTTGGTCAGGCACGAACTCATAATCTGTTATTAATTAACCTACAAACTGCAATAAGTAACGTACTGTGAATAACAATATAATTACATAATATAAATAAAAATTAATCTATTTAATTCAAAATGTGAAATTATAACGAGTCAACGTATTTTTCTTTAAAAAATATACTTACTTTTCAATGCCATAGCTAACTTACTACTGTTTAAACGTCGAGCAGTCTTAATTTTTTATCAAGTAAATGCAAAATTTATTTTTTATATCTATTCATTTTATTATTTTAAGAAAGTTATCTATTTTGTTATCATTTACACAATTACGTATTATTTCCGTTTTATTATTTCTATTTTGATTTAAATTTATTACTTGTAATTTATCTCAAGGCATCAGACGTAAAGTGAAAGGTTTTAAAATACTTAGCTGAAAATTAATGTTTTTAAAAAAAGTAAAACTATAAAAGTAAGTAAACCAAATGTTTTTATTAATGAATTACAGAATTTTTACATGTTTACTTCAGCCTGGAGAATCTAAAGTTATTATATGAGATCAGCAATAACCTTATATATAATACTTTGTAAGTATGAATAACGAGTCAAACTAGTATTCGATCAAAAATAACAGGAAATTTTGGTAAATGTATTACCAATATATTCTACAACAACTAATCCACACTTCTAAGGAACAGATAGTGATTTCGAACGGAAAATGGGAAATACCGGTAAAATGTATTTTCACATTCACAGCTATCAGAATTTTTTCCACCATGTAATCTTGATTTACCGTAAAAAGTTTCGTAACCAATTAAATAATTTTACTCGTCAATAATCTAGCATGAATCTTTATATTAGAGTTGTGCAACCGAAATGAGCCATTAGCCGAAAAAATAACACCTATTTATTGGTAATCAAAAGTGACATCAATTGAGGAACCCTCCTTCTATGCACCAGCGTATTTTTAACACCTATACTGAAAATGAAATCTTTAGACTTATTCAAATTTAAATTCAAAATTATGTTCATCTAAATAATCAATCCACAAATTAACCAATGTTTGAAACCCTACAACAGAATCATATAAGATTACATTATCGACAACATAAATATTTCAATTTGGCCATGATATAATCTGCAATTCAATACTTGAAATTAACCACTTAATATTTGTTTGAACGAGAAAATCTTGAATTTTTATATATCAGATTCTTCGTGAGTGTTTAGTAATGGTTTCTTCAAATCAATGTCATTTTTTCATGCTGAGTCTCTGGAAATCAGTTTATTTTTAATAATGCAACACTCGTTTTCGTGCAGGAATTAATTTTATCATAATGATTACCAGAGCGATGGTCATAAACGTTGTTGTGAAACCAATCATATGGATTAATACTCGATGTTCTCTAAACCATGGATATTTTGATACGAATTCTTCCCTATAATACATTGATATTATGAAGAATAATTCGAAGAGTTCGTATATTTATATTTGTTGTATAAATATTTCAAACTTTTTCATTTTTTCCAATCTATTGTAGTTTTATTTTATCTTCCGATTCTTTCTCAGGTGTGTTAATGACTTTTTCTTGTAACTTGGTTCAATGTGAAAGATAAATGGAACAGAAGGAATTTTGGACGGTATTCGGCCTTCTGTCTTCGTATTTTCTTTTGGATTTAGCTTGAATAATAACTTTTGGTAAAACCTCATCGAAGGTCTTTTTTGTATTAATATTTAGTAATTTAGACATAATCGGGTATTTTATGATGAAATCTTTAATTTCATTCTGCCTCTCGGATCGAATTGGAACTTCTGCATCCTTCCATTCGTCCACTGGATAAATATTGTCAAATCCAGATCAATGAAATTCCTCTAGCATCGCTTGATACTTGAATGAAGATCAAAATAAATTTAAAAATTACGTACACATTAACTGCTTCAGCAATATTCGCACTGATATCTTTTCTCAAACCTTCGCAAATCGCAACAATTAAAGTGTTAACCGTAGTAAAATCTGAATTACTAAACTAACAATAGAAATCTTTTATTTTTATATTCTATGAAATAAACATGAAATCATTAAATAATCAACTTATAAATTTGTTTTTAAATTCATCTAATTTATTCGTTAAGATTTTTAAGATTTCGAGTTTTTAATGTGATGCTACATCGCACTGTACGTGAATTGTGTTTCGATCTGGAAACACATTATAATTTGGAAAATAACTTTTATAAATATACAACATTCTGCGCAGAGTTTTTCATTTTAGAATTTATTTTTAATTTTGTAGATAGCTGCGAAATTATTTGTTAGAACAACAGTAAGTGTACTAATAGAGTGACATCTAAACATCGCTTTATAAGAGAGCAATTAGCGTGAAATTCTCCCCATTTAACGTAAAATGTTGCAATTTTTAATGATAACAAAGATATATTCTTGACATATCATTTTTATTTTTTCTAAACCAAACAAATATACAGTAGCTATAATCGATTCGGTGTAACACATAATCGATTAACTTGTTACAGTATGAATTCTGCTTTTATGTTAAGAACTATTATAAGCGTTCTAATATGACTTGGCAATTGAAAATCAGACAAAATAACTTTTTGAAGAATCATGTGCATAAGAAATTAATAGCAAAGGCATGACAAGGATGGTGGTAGTATAACATGGATAACCAATTCTGCATGCTTTTGATTCTAATGATTTTATGAGCAAAGTCTTCATCATTACAAAGATTGGACTAATGTTGACAATTAATTATTATCGTGTTTTTTCTTGTCTGTATTAATGGTAGCCCAGGGTTGAAGTTCCGCAGTAGCTCCGAACAGAAATATTACACCACTGAGAAAATAAGCGAAAGAGACCATATAGAACACGTAGCTCCATTGAACCAATTCTCCTTGCTGAATAATTAAAAATTAATAAACCAATTTAATAATAATTTATATATATAAATTTTAATAACATTTAACTTACATGTTTCTCTAATATAATTCCAGCAATGTATGGTGATAGTATACCTGCGGCGTTACATAAACCATATGTCAATCCGAAAAGGACTCCTAAATATAATTTAGATTGAGAAAATCTTGTTAACTGTTGTATAAAATATTTTTTTGTTAAACAAGTAAATTAATTTCATTTCGGATAAATAATTAATGTATTATATAAATAAGTAAATACTAATTAAGTTTAATAAGAAAATAACTATGAATAAAAGGAAATAGAAGTGTTATAGTAAATGTAATAAGTAAAACAGTAATCAAAATATTAAGTATGACTTTTTCGAAATGACTTCTTTTCTAAGAATTCCAATAATGCTGGAGATGATTATGACTTTGTTTATATAAATTTAATCTTATTTACTTTCTCACTTCCTGTAAATTACTTTGAAATTCTCAATGAATAGATGTTCTGTAAATTAGTAAGTTTGCGATCGGGTTCTGTAAGAATCTGTCCACTGTATTGGATGGCTATGAAATGTTTAAATAAACATAAGGAAGAGTAAAGATCAAGCGACCTCAGTGTACTTTAGTCCTGACACCAGCTAGGGTAATTCAAAATTTACTCCCTAACTCGCAGTTATTTTCTCTATGCTTAATGAAACGTTCGAATAGGAGGGTTAATTATTTTTCGAGTGGCGGAGGGTTCGTGTCGATTCAGGAGAATAGAAGCAGGACAATTTCCTTTTATATAAGCAATATGTTTATTAACCTTGGGTTATGGTATAGCTAACTTCGGCTGTGGGATGACGTGAAGCAGCCCTCAGTGAAAGTGCCATATCTCTTATATAAAAAATACGACTACCAATCGGGTTTGCTCCTCATGAGATTATACTCTGAGTAACTTTTCATTAAAACAGAACTTCAATATTCTCTGAATCAGAGAAAGGCAAGGCGAGATGCTGAATTAGATAAACATCTGCCTTTCCGTTTATTAGATTTACACGATAAATCTAATTTACTATTAAATGTTACTTTGATTTTATATTTAACTGTGTCATAGATCGAAGTTCTCGCGTAAGCCATAACCAAGGCGGCTTTTTTAATTAGCGAAATCTTGATTTCAAGGACAATCGGTTTCGATTATCACCATCGCACATCCTAATGCGAGAAGACTACCGATATCCACAAGTAAACTTACGATAGGTTTCGAAAAAAGTACAGTAATTGCCTACAGGTCGAAAAAAAAGACTTTAAAAGAGTAGTAAGGAATTATTACATTTGAAAGTATATACGCCTAATTTTTCTAAGTTGATAGAATTTACTTTATTCAGATGTTGTTGTCAGGACAATTGTTCGCCTATGATGCCATTTTTTAATTCAGTTTTTTACGTTTTAATTCAATAACAAGTAAAATCTTTTTTAAGTCTGATTCCACTTCAGATATGGCACACGAGTCATTCTATTTTTCCAAACCATTGATCTTCATTCATCAAAAATTAACATTATAAATTTGCCTAATATACAAACTTTACTGCAGAATTTCATAGATTATTGACAAAAGGCATAAAAGTAATTAAGACT